CTCTACACACGTAGAATGATTACATAAAATATTTCACTAACGCATACATAAACTGGCTACTGGCCATACTGATTAACACAACCGCTGCACAGTTGAAAGGTATTCCACAGGAAAAACACAGCTCAAGCACTAAGTAGCTCAGGCAGCAAAACCATAGACTACCGTCCTTATGTGGAAACTGCATTAGCAAAGCGCTGTGGTAAACAAAAATAACTTTGAAACGTAACATTTTGCCAAGCTTTTCCTCCATTTTGGCCAAAAAGTCATGCGTTTAAAGAGACCTTTACAGGATCAGAATGGCCAAACAAAACTAAAATCCAGAATTTGACAAAAAAACCAGCAGAGTTTACAGCCAGTGAATGCAAAGAAAAGAAGAAGAAGAAATTAATAACATCTTCCCAGAATCTATTCTCAAAATTCTGATGCAGCTAAAATAGCTTACACTGCTCTACAGACAGGGACAGACTTGTTTTACTTATGACAGCCATCATCACAATACTTATCCATGTGTACTTCCAACTGGATTTATGTATATCTTATTTCAGTCACTGTTAACCATAATATGTTAGGCAAAAAACAGTATAACCACAGTAAGCTAGACACTCATCTGTCAGCCTCTAGGTCTTAGGGTCAAATCTGAATCCAGGCAGATTTGTTTTTCAAAATGACATTTGCTCTGAGGTCAACACAGCCTATATTGGGCCCCAGGTAAAGTCTGGAAAGTAAAGGTGACAGGCATGATGCTAACCACATCACCCATCATGGAAAGATGGTCTACAGAAATATGAGCCCAGTATCAAATCCCCTGGCACCAACGCTGGCATTAAAAGAATCCTTTAGAAACTTTTTACTTTTATTTACTTACTGTTCAACAACAATAAACAGATTTGTTTAAGGAAAAATTAAATGACGAACTTTAGTTAATTAATAAATTTAATAATATGGCATAATCAAATAGGCTGATTTCTCTCTATCATAAAGAATAATAATTTTGATGACACTAAAACTGACATTTTCACAAAAACAATAAAATACATAACTGGAATACACAATGGCTTGCAACCGGTCATAACAGGCTACCAGATTCACTTAGCCTAAAACAGGTACTGAGAAAAATCCTAGCAGCATACTGACATCACCTAATCACTGCTAACTGATCTAAACATAAAGGTTAGGCACCTAATGCCTGATCTACCACAAGGCTGGAGACAGGACCCTATTTTCTCATAAAGTCTTGTTTACCTCATCTATAGGATCTGGGCTACTTTCTAAATATGTAATGAGATATTTGAAGATATTCTTTTTCTTTTGTCCTATTGTGAAGTGTCGCAGAGGAGATAGATGCAGTTTTCCTGTCTACTGCTAGTTGTACAGCTTGCATTGATGTCATATTGTGTTTCTGTACTATCTCTTTTACTCCATTCACCCATCTCATTTTTTAATGGCCTCTTGCCTTGCAGCCTGCTGTTTCTTGTGTAGAACACTCTAGCTGCTGGCTGATTTTGTTCCATTCTGACCAGATGACCAAACCATTTGATTCTCTAATGTTCTATGAAATTGAAATCATTTACTGGAACTGTGTCTTTCACTGTTCTTAGTTACTTCAATTTACGATAAATGTTTAAAGTTTCAAATCTCAAAACATATAGCTAGGCTGACAAGTTAAATCTGGCATAAAACATGACCAATGGGCTGAAATTTAGTGAAAGAATCAAGGAAATATATTTACCCTACCAGACCGCTGGCCCGATTTTCCGGGAATTTCCTAACCAGCCGCTAAACCGCTGGCCCACTTTTCCGGGAATTTACGTAGTGCGTGACAAATATGTGTCAGACTAAAAATAACCAGCCTATCGCCATCAGACTTCGTTGTTAGTCATTGCGAATGACTTCAGACGTGTGTTGAGATTTCTTTGTGTGGTTTGATGTGAAAAAAATTCGGAAAATTCTCAATGAAACCAGCGGCTTTGACAGGAAAGTGACGTAGGTCTAGGCTTATCACAGTCCAACAGTTGATTGATACTTTGGTTAATTCAGACTGTGAATATGTTCCCAGTTGAAGTGACACAGTCAGTTAGAGCTAGAGTGAGGAGGAGAATTATGAAAATTATAGATTTAAAACTGGATCGACAGTAAGAGAAAGGGGCGTGTCCCTCAAACAGCAACATCTGGTGCTTACTTCGCGAATCAAGCTGATCCTACTAGGTAGATTGGCACACAAAGGGGAAAGATTGGCGTTAGATGAAAGGTAAAGTTTTATCTTATTCTAACCACTTGTTTGCCTATTACTAATTTTTTTGTACATCATGATTTTTTGCGTGTTAGTGCCCAGGAGCTCAGGTTAAAGGGACAGTTAGGTTCAGGGCCTCAGGTCTGGTAGGGTTAAGCAACATGTAACTAAACCATTTAACATCAGGACACAAATAACCACTTATTATAAAAATGGACCTTATAGCATTCTTATTACCAAAATAACAAAACAAAACACACACACACACACACAAAAGTTAAGAATAACAGTTTCACAATTAACAAAGTCTGATCCTGCAGCATTCATCGTCTAAGTATTTTAAATTACAATATATAATTAACACAATGAGTAACATGATACTGCCAACATTTTAAAAATATATCTAGTTGTATTGTCTTAAAACACTTATGGCAACATAATCTAATTAATCATGAACAAGTCTTCAAAAGAAGAAAGAAAAAATATTAGCATATGAAATTAGATGATATATCTTCTTGAACAGAAATTGCATTCGTAAGGCACAGAAAGTAGAACTCAGACAGGATCACTGACTCATCATCATTCTTCTTCTTCTGCTCTGTATCCCCCATCGGAGCCTAGAGCCTCAGTAAACTCAAGCTAAGTTGTCCTACCCCCTTCTATTGCATGCAGCTCACCCCAAGTCCTCCCCATCATGTTATCTTCATTCTAATTTCCTTCTCTGTGTGTTTTTGGTTTGTTTTCATCTCTATGACCCTTTAGGTTCTAGTGTTAGGACTTTCTAGTTATACTGATTTTGGGGTTTTCTCATGTATCGTATCTAACGCCAGCATCTTTTCTTCACCTCTTCTTCTTCCTTTCTATCCTTTGTTTTCTAACAAAGCTCCATGTTAGGTATTTTATATCATTTGGTTCCCTGTTCTGCACAGGCAGCAGTTGATAAACATCATTTTTTACCTTGAAACATCTCGACTGACTGGAATTTGATAAACTGTAAGATATGCCTTTGCTCAGCTCTCACATAGAATGACAATTACTGGAATGCTCAGATGCTGCTACTAAAACACTTATTTGAGGCTGAGGTAACTGTACAGACAGAAAATGGAAAAAAAAAAGAATTCGGGAAGATAAGTCTTAGAAGATAGGATCATATGATAAGGCTGTAAGATTTGCCTTCGCTCAACTCTCACACAGAAAGACAATCAGTGCAAATTTTATACATTGCTGCTAAAATGCTTATTTGTCCTGCATTACAAAAAATAAACATGAGGTTTAAACATGACATCATTTATGTAAAAATTGTTATTTCATTGTTACGAGCTAAGGTGGGGCAGTGACTATTGTATTTGTCTCCCAGCCTAACAGTCGCAGGTTCGATTCGGCAATGATGTGCTTTTTAAAAAAATGAAAAATAATATGAGTTACTATGTCAACTCAATCTTAACTGGGCACCAGGAAAATGTCCAAGGAAGTAAAGGAGATCAAGGTGTGATATTAACCACATTCTTAATTGAGTGCCAATTGGTCTATAAAAGTGTGGAGCCTAAACCATACACCTAATGACCCCTAATGGATAAAAGTGCCCTCTGCTGTACTTTGTCATTGGCATCCATGTAAAATAAAAAAACACATCCAAACAAAATACTATCACAGCCATTGCTGATCCCAAGCCTGGATGAAAAAGGAGGATGGCTAAGCGTGGGGCCAGCTCTCCCACCCTGTAAACAATTATTTACTACAGAAACTTAGAGGAAGTGATGCCATTCCTGTAAACAAAGGAGGTGAGGACAGGCAAAAGAAACCCTCAAATGAACCGCTGAGAGAGGCCAAAGGGGCTGGACTGGATTTCATCTATGATATTCAATAAATTGCATAGGATAGAATGTAATGGAGGAACTGACTGTGAGATATATGACACATATAATGGCACAACAGGTCAATAAATGAATGCAAAATACTAAACTCTTACAAAAACATTATACGTAATATTCAGCAAGTGTAGCAGCCCTATACAAAAGAACTCATAAATTACATAATTACAAACATGATCTCCAAACAGTAAACAATCACTAGAGTAAAAATATGTCGTCCCGTTTCGGGATGCAATTTTGGTTATTTTAAAGCCCACCCCGGCTGTAGTCAAGGGCCCTAATATAACCTAAGTCAGGGGCCCTAATACGTAACTTAAGTCAAGGGCCCTAATATAACCTAAAGTGAACCAACTGAAAACTGTGAATCTGCAACCATGGTAGACTGCAAGAACAGTTAAATGGGGTGTAGCCAAACAAGAACACTATGCGGGTAGCCAAAGAAGAATAATAAACCAACACAGGACTGGTGTTGTCAGCCGCTACACGCTGCAGGATTTACTGAGGAGGGGTTCCGAGCACTTAAGGACTGAGTGGTTCGACGTGCAATGAGGATAATCTGTCAACTAACTAACTAATATAATCTAAGGGCTGAACGGGGTTTCTGGGACCTATCCCCGGCTGATCCTCATCCGCATGGTGGCATTTTCTGTCACCGTGTGTTTATCGCTTGGTGGATGTCCTGGCAGGGTTGAAAATCATTCATTCAATCCCTAGACTAAACATCTAATATGTGCTTCCCCAATAATAAGTCTCTACTTTTCTTTCACTGTGATGATTTACTTACCGGTCTAGGTTACACATTTTGCAAAAAAAAACACATCTTTAAAAAAATGACCACATGCCTCCTCATAACTCTACTTTTCTCTTACCCTGACTATGTATTTACTAATTAAAGTTATCTACTTAGTGGTGAAGAACAGATCCTTGGTTAACATGGAAGTAATATATGGGATCTGTCTGTTCTGATTTTCATACACATTGTTAGCATTTAATTCAAAAGCCTGTGCCACTTTCTTGTTGACTCTGGTGATCATTGTCAACAAGTCCATTGTCTGCCAGTTCTGCTCAAAGACATCATGTATTGACTGAATGAACCAAGATGGTTTTGATATATTTTTCCAGGCTGAGGAGGGAGAAAAATACAAACATCAGTTAAAGGCTGACATGACTTTTGTATATTCACTGCCTTTATTTCTCCATGTTGGTTACAGGGCCTAATTTTTCTAAAAAAGGTAGGGAGTTGGGGGGGGGGGGGGGTGGGGGAGATCCGCTGCCCCTTTACAACACACACACACAAAACTTGCCCCGTTTCCCTAACTAAAAGTGAAGTAAAGAACCCTTTTCACGCCTTTTAGGCTTATCGGGCATATCGAAAGAGCGCCCATATTTTCTACAGACCATCGGCACTAGGTGGGTAATGTGGTCAGCATTACGCCGGCTGTCTTTACTTCCCCAAGACAGCCATCCCGGTACCATTTTTAGGCTGGGGCCACCTGTGACGCCCCATACCATGATAACAATCCATGCAGCCAGCTGTGGGTTTCGATCTGGAATTACGAGTCGGACTCGCAATGTCTAAGCCACGGGCACTGCGTTTCCCTAACTACATGTTTTTATGCTAACTACAGGATAATTGTTATGTCTGTGGCTTAGGCGTTGGGAACACGCTTCGTAATGTCGGAGTGCCGAGTTCGATCCCAGCTACGGACGATTTGTAATGCGTTGGTTTTCGGCGGTGGTACCGACAGCTGACCATTTAGAAAGTAACAGCAAACTACTGAAGATAAAATGTGCCTAGAAAAACTTCAACAGCTAAAAAATGCTGTGGTTGGTTCTGCAACGTCCTATTAAGGATGTGGAACTTTTTTTTAAAATGGGAATATTATATGGTGAGACTTAAATCTCTTCCACAGTGTGACTCTTGTATCACTGTCTGACAGGCATAAAAACAGTTTTTTCTTTCTAAATCGCCCACCACTGAAATCGAATACTTGTACACGTTGATGATTTCATTGTGAAACTATTTCACTAAAATCTAGGCCACAGAATTGTACTGAACATGTATGTCGTAAAAAGACTAGCTAAGGTCTTGCTGAAACTGAAACAGATGGGTCAAAAAGTGCAGATATGGTAGCCTAGGTGTAAATTGCAAGACACCAACTGTCCTTTTAAGGGCAAATTAAGATTATTTTATTTTTATTTTTTATGAAGTGTAACAAAATCATACCTGTTCCATTAGCTTTATTACAAACATATGTACATAAGAAGATGTATTAAACTTAAGCAACTGTTAAAAAGCAAACGTGCCCCTGGAGTTGTCAGAAGAAGCTGACATAAGTGTTTGACATGCATCTCACTGCATGATGAGACAGCAAAGGTTGCCTGCAAAGGACTTTAGCTGTTCAATAAACCATTCAAACATCGCTGTCATGAAGTTCTGACACACAATCTATAGTCCCAATCTGTCCCTATTTGTCTTTTACTTATTTGGAGCTTTTAATCTTTTCACCCGAGATGATGATAATCTGGCATCACTATCTATTACAAATCCTGGCGTGAGCCTTTCTTTTTTTTTTTTTAAACAGACCAATCAGCACTTGGTGAGTGATGTGGTCAACGCCACGATGGCCACCCGTTGAATTCCCATGATTCTTCCTGGTACCAATTTTATGCTGGGTCAGGCTGGCAGCCGGTGTGAATTTGGACCCAAAACCTTTGGACCCAAAACCTTTGGACCGGTAGGCAAGCACCCAGCATCTGCAACCATGACTCCCCTTGTTTTCCTTGCATTATGGCACAGCTTTCCCAACACTCACATGCAATCCACATGATTTGGTATCTATAATAAAACAAGAAAAATGCAGTAGAAAGAAAACTCAACAGTGGAATAATGGATGAATGATGCATACCTGGAATCATTGAGTATGCCATCAAGAAGTCTGCTTCTGTTGGAATGCGACGAACAGTTTCCTCTTCATTTGATTCCTCTCCAGCACTTTCAAAGGATCTCTCTCCTTTCTCTGGCATGAAACCCTTGGAAGACTAATATAACCAAATTGTACAGGTTATTACTAATGTTAATAACTAGAACTATCAAGCTCACTCAACGGCATTAGAAATAAAAGGGACAGGTATTCACTAGCACTCATAAAACATTAAATCACAGAAGTTAGGGAAATAAATAGAGATAAGAGGATGTACTAAACGAAGAAAACATTTAAATCTTCAGCCAGAATTTCTTCTTCTTTTTCTCTGTGTTCGGTTTCCTATGCTCAGATCAGACCATCAGGTGGGATGCCTTTATGAACTCGCATGTCAGTAGCAAGCAGGTCCTTCATGGTTCCCCACAGCTTGCTCTGCACATTTTGCTCTTGAGGCCAAGTGTCTTTTCGAAGTTGTAGGTAGTGGGCAGGACTGCAGAATGTGCTCAGGTATTTGTGGTTCTGTCTGACAGTCACACTGTACAATTTTTATTTTGTGCATGTGGTAGTTGAGCTTGCACTGTCCTGTTCATAGACGTAAAATTGTTGCATGTTGCTTTCTGTTGAGTCTGCTGATGGGGTCTTGTGTATGTTTACTGTTTGTTCTCTCCATAATTCCTTGTATTTTCCTTTGATAAGTGTTCTGATTTCTGGTAAGGACAATGAATGGGTGTGTTGTTTCTCCTTTGTTCCAATTTTTTGCAAGTCTGTCTGCTAACTAATTTCCAGCTATGCTGCAGTGAGCTGGGATCCACTGGCGAACAATTTGATTGTTTTCTGAGAGTCTGTTGAGCTGGTGGGTCAATTCCAATGTTGTCTCATGGAACTCTCTGAGTCACTTGAAGGACTGACATGCAGTCACAAAAGAAAACAATTTTGCTGCTTTTTAATTTTTCTTTCCCCAAGCACTTAAGGGCTGAATCAATAACTGCTTGCTTTTCTGCTCTGAAGTTTGTTGAGAGTCTTCTGGAGGCGCATGACGTTTTTACAGTGGTCCCATCTTGCAGCATGATGACCAACCCAGCTCCTCCATTTTTTTTCTGCTCCCTCCAATAATCCATCAGTGTACAGCGAAAATGTAAACACGCCAATTCCAAAAGATTGCATTCACCTTGTTGGAAGAACAGTTTCTTTGTGTAAAGGCGAGGTTTCTTGGCATTGCCTTAGTGCGTCCGACTTGTCAACACTCGGGCCAACCACCCACCTCCCTAGGGTGAATATATTTAGGTGTACAAAATATAGCCCTCACCGCCGACACATCTTTCGTGTTTGGAGGATACAAAAGTATTCAATGCACGAGAGGTGGTCAGCAGGGAACTTGCTTTGCACAGTGGCAACGATGGCTGGGGAGTGCGTAGCAGCGAAAGAATTAACAAAACTCAGCATTCAGTTATGCCTAGGTGGCTCCCAAAAATGCAACAGAACTTTTTCTCGATCCAACAAAACAATGCACAACATCACACAAGCCAGAATATATGGGAAGCAATTGACTAATTGCATTGGACTGTACCCCAGCGTCTATCCAACAGCCCTTATCTGGCTTTCTATTTTCATTTCTTTTGTCCATTTAAAAATGTATTTTGCGATAAAGGGTTTAAATATGATGAGGATGTTATTCATGCTGTGAAGAACTGGTTACATGAGAAGTCTAATGATACACTTTATTTCATATAAGGAGAGCTTGAGGAAAAACAAATAGTTAACAGACATTATGTGTAAGAGGCTGGGCTTAAGAAGGACACAGGCCAGAAAAAAGACAGTCACAAGGTTAGCATAACTGCTATGGAACAGGAGAATAAGTAAATGACGAAAGGTGAATGTGTGAATGATAAGAAGTGAATGTGTGGATGATAAGAAGTGAATGTGTGGATGAAAAGAAGTGTGAAAGAACTAAGAATTATTCCGTATTTGGTGCTTTGACAAGTGTTCGAATGAATGTGTATGAATTAGAAAGTTGAACCTACTAAGCAGCCTACGGCAAAGTGTATCTGGCCATCTGATGGACAACAAATTGGCAGTGAAACCAGCATGGCAGTGATGAACATAATCAGAGGTTACATGCTGACGCCAACCACCTGTGTTGTAAAAGGGGACATTTTTTGACAGAAGACAGTTGACAGTGCTGTAAGTAATGGTACAAAGATTCATGTCTGAAGACAGGTCTAGAGCCAGTCTTTCAATCCTACACGTATTAGTGACAGTAGAAAGAGAATAGCGCACATCTTGAAACAACCATCAAACATTCCAAATTGAGAAGTGTGTTCTGCCCATCTATTGTGGATTTCCATGTGTGTTGTTGCTGTTACTGATGAATTTCTATAAGTTTCACCCATTCACTCATCAAAATACAGATAACAGAACACGGATTCCTTTCCGGTGTGTGTCAAAAGTGTGATAGCCATATTTAAACTGTCATTATATCATCACCATGTTTATCTGTACCGTGATATTATGTTCTTAACACTCTTTAACATCCTTAACAACAATACTGACAGGTTACACGGCAAATGAATGGCTACTGTAATTTCTATAAAACCTTTTAGTTTTTAAATTGAAGGATTTTCGTATAACTCTTTGTGTCGCACTCTGTATTTTTCAATTCCAGTAGCTTAAAACATCTTAAAGACTATTGGACACAACATGAGATTGAATTAATAATTACCTAGTACCGAAAGAGTTAATGCAATGTAACCTGATATCCCTAGGGAGGGGGAGGGGGGTGTGTGTGAGAGAGAGAAATAGTACTGAAAAAAGCATGCATGTATGACAAACCTGTATTAAAAACAACTTTGGTTTTGCAGCAAGAGATTTGCATAAGTGTCCCTTGAAAGGCTGAAGCAGTTCATCCACAGGGATTTTATCGTCAGTAGCACATACATAGCCATCGTCTCCATGAGTCAGTATGACACACACAAAGCAGTCGCTGTCGGTATGGTCCATGCTGGCCACTGCTCAGAGAATAAACACAAGTGGTTATTGTTTCTTCATTCTATTTTGTTTCAGAAGAAACATGAGTGTCAGTGTGTATTTAGTTTATACTAAATAATAAACTAACAAGGAAAAGTTACTGTTTCTTCACTCTATATCTAAACAAAACCAAAATAGTCAGTGTTTCTTCACTCATTATCATATCTAAATAACAGTTTATATCCTGGTAAAAACAGAAATAGTCTCCTCTATATTTATCTGAAAATAACAAAAATAGTTATTGTTTTTGTACTATATTTTACATTTTTTTAAATAATAAGAATAGTTACTGTTTCTTCACTCTATATATATATTTCCCAAGCAACAGGAATAGTAATTTTTTCCCAAACTGTATATTATATCTGAAAAACACAGAAACAGTTATTGTTTCTTTACTCTATTTTTTGTTTTGTTTTTGTTAAACAGGAATTAGGAAGTAAAGGTGGCCATTGTGATATTGACCACACCACCCATTAAATGGTGATTGGTCAATACAAATATAAGTCTAGCACCATATGCCTGACGCACCGCTGACGTAAAAGAGGTCCTTTACAGTACTTGGTCTGTAATTCCAAGGATTCAGGACGTCTTCTTAGTCCATACCGTGTGGCGTCGGTAGTCATGTTTATCCACAATCTTCTGTCTCGTGTACTTTCAATCAACTCTGACACAGATGATCCTCCTTGCCATGATGTCAAACTGTCCGGCATCTTTTCTCTTGGTCTCCCTCTACCTCTTTTCTTTTCCAACTTTCCCATGGTCACAATGTACTCCAGTTTTCTCTGTTTAGTGACATGACAAAATTTAAATCAGGAACTGAAACTTTTTTTTCTTCAGCATTCCGAGCCCTTGAGGTTCATTGCTGCAGATATCACCTGCCTCGTTTTATCTCTCTGGCTGGCCTTACCCTTATAAAAGGAACTGAAGTGAGTTGTATAATTAACATCTGTTTACCTTTTTGAAGTATTGACTTCATGTCAGCAGCTGTCTGGTCTTTGTAAAACATGACATCTTTAAATCCTAGAGTCTTCAACAAGTCAACCATGAGTTCTGCATCAGCACTTGGTTCCTGCAAACTTCTTTTACTATCCCCGATGTGGCCTCTTATGAATAGCCTGGGATGGAACGTGGTATTGTTGATAATCAATGCCACCCCTTTGTTCGGATGATCCATCTTATAAAGGAGAGATGAAAACGCAGACTCACTCATTCTCGGCAAGCTGTTCCTGACACCAGAGAAATCAAAAGTAATGTAAGAGAAGTATTGTTAAGCCAGTAGATAGTTTTATAATATTCAAAATTGTGTGGTGGAAAAATAAAAATAATATCACTCACAGGAAATCATCTGTCTTTTTTTTTTTTGAGAATCAACATGTTACCATCTGATCTCAAACTCACAGCCACAGATCTTTTTCTAGCTAGTCATCATCATTATCTGTCTCTTTGCATTCATATTTATGCTTGGATGTCTTAGTTTGGATGGCTAGTAATGCTGTACATTCAAGTAATGTGCTGATGAAAGCTTTCTAGCTGCAATATTTACTTGTAGTTTGTGTTTGATAATGTGAAGCTATCTGGATCTACTTGTCGTTTGGCTGGAAATATTTTTATGTTAACGATAAATGCTCCGTTTCCTGCAGCAAAAGTCTCCAGGGCCTCAATGATGATCATTCCAGAAGCACAATGGCTGTACATCCAACACAATTTTCCTCCCATAATCCTTTCTTGTCAAATATACATTTAACCTCAAATTCATGCAACCAAATAGACATGTTAATTTAACTAACAGTGTATTTTTGATCAGTGTATCTTTAATTACATGTAGCCTTTAGAATAAATGCCATATCCAGCCAGTATTAGGTTTTCTAGCACTGCACTTCTGTAGGGCGCGTGCGCGTGCACACATACATACATACACACAATCAGCTGATTTATTGACCTGCATTACTTTATGTGTGCACACACACATACACACAATCAGCTGATTTACTGACCTGCATTACTTTATGCGTGCACACACACATACACACAATCAGCTGCTTTACTGACCTGCATTACTTTATGCATGCACACACACATACACACAATCAGCTGATTTACTGACCTGCATTACTTTATGTGTGCACACACACATACACACAATCATCTGATTTACTGACCTGCATTACTTTATGTGTGCACACACACATACACACAATCATCTGATTTACTGACCTGCATTACTTTATGCGTGCACACACACATACACACAATCAGCTGATTTACTGACCTGCATTACTTTATGTGTGCACACACACATACACACAATCAGCTGCTTTACTGACCTGCATTACTTTATGCGTGCACACACACATACACACAATCAGCTGATTTACTGACCTGCATTACTTTATGCGTGCACACACACATACACAGAATCAGCTGATTTACTGACCTGCATTACTTTATGCGTGCACACACACATACACAGAATCAGCTGATTTACTGACCTGCATTACTTTATGCATGCACACACACATACACACAATCATCTGATTTACTGACCTGCATTACTTTATGCATGCACACACACATACACACAATCATCTGATTTACTGACCTGCATTACTTTATGTGTGCACACACACATACACACAATCATCTGATTTACTGAGCTGCATTACTTTATGTGTGCACACACACATACACACAATCAGCTGCTTTACTGACCTGCATTACTTTATGCGTGCACACACACATACACACAATCAGCTGATTTACTGACCTGCATTACTTTATGTGTGCACACACACATACACACAATCAGCTGATTTAATGACCTGCATTACTTTATGTGTGCACACACACATACACACAATCATCTGATTTACTGACCTGCATTACTTTATGTGCACACACACATAAACACAATCAGCTGATTTATTGACCTGCATTACTTTATGCGTGCACACACACATACACACAATCAGCTGATTTACTGACCTGCATTACTTTATGCGTGCACACACACATACACACAATCATCTGATTTACTGACCTGCATTACTTTATGTGCACACACACATACACACAATCAGCTGCTTTACTGACCTGCATTACTTTATGTGTGCACACACACATACACACAATCAGCTGATTTATTGACCTGTATTGCTTTATATCACATTTAGAGCACATTTATGTTTATCAGTGTATTATTGAAGTACACATTTTTAGTATCATGTCGCGCTCTCCTTTTCAACATTATGGGGTGCAAAACAATTATCTATAAAATTCTTTAATAAATAGGTTGACAGGTTAGCACACCCAGCTTATGAGCAAGTGCCATTATGTATACAGGTTGTTAGGCTGGACACAGATTTGGGGAAAAAAAGTGGAAAAGTAAAAATGTGACGTACTGTTTTTGGGACAGAAAGTAGACGAGAGAGAGAGTGGGAAAGAGGGGAGAGAGAGGTAGAGGTTGGAGATAGACAAAAAGAACTGCAACATGCTGTTGTGTGATATAACATAGAAAATGGGGGGGGGGGGGGGGGGGGGGGGGGGGAGGGGGGTGGGAACTGTGACATACTTCTATGGGATCAAAAGTAGAGAGAGAGAGAGAGAGAGTGAGAGAAAGAGAGATACGGGGGGGGGGGGGGGGGGGACAGAAAGTAGAAACTGAAACAGAGAGGAAATACTGTGACATATTTTTAAAGTAAAAAATGAGAGAGAAATAACTGTGACAATGTTGTTTCTAGATGGAAAGTAGAAAGTGAGTCAGTAAGAAAAAGCTGACTGAAAAGCTACATACTATTTGAAAAAAGCTATTTTAAATATTCAAAATTGTGTTTTTTCAAGCAAAAATCAAAGTAAAAATTTAAAAAGAAATTCAACATGAAACATTTCTCACAGAATCAGGAATGCTGGAAACTCCATTAAAGGTGTTCATGCATATGATATCAATTTATCAGTCAGCAGTTATAATTATTTCCAGATTGTACTTCTTCTCTCAGCATGTCGGAGCAGTTACAGTTTGCAACCAAGTACTTATTCTTTTTTCATAATCTATTTAAATCAAAACTGATAACTGGCATCGTGAGAGCTAATAGACTGAAATTGTTGGGGCATATTGAGAGAATTTTATATGACAAAGAAGTGAAAACTGTTTACACAAGGGAGATGAATGGTTGTAGAACACAAGGCAGACCAAGAAGACGATGGAGAGATAATGTCTAGATAGACCTGCAAACACTTGGTGTCACCAACTGGAAAGAGAAGGCAAACCAGAGAGATGAATGGAAGCTGGTGATATCTGCAGCAATGAACCTCAAGGGCTCGGAATGCTGAAGAAAAAGAAGAATAGTTATAATTAATGGACAAATCAAATCAACTGTCATCATACCTTGGCTGACCTCTGGCATCAGGTTCATCTGTGTCGCCCACCCCAAGAGCATCAACCATATCATTTGCTGACAACACTACGCAGAAGATAAAGGAATACAACAACAGATGAATACAGTAATGGACATAACTAATCTGCTTCTTTTTTTATTTTTTAATCCCTGTGGCACCATGTGGCATTGGTAATTATGTCACATGGACATAGACAGAAAGAAAATACTGGGGGGGGGGGGGGGGGGAAGGGAAGAGCAGAGAGCAATGTGTGTGTGTGGGGGAGGGGGGGCAGAGAACAGTGTGTGTGTGGGGGAGGGAGCGGACAGCAGTGTGTGTGTGGGGGGGGGGAGGGGGCGGAGAGCAGTGTGTGTGTGGGGGGAGGGGTGTGGAGAGCAGTGTGTGGGGGGGGGCAGAGAGCAGTGTGTGTGTGTGGGGGAGGGGGGCACTCAGCCCCCTTACAAGTTTTCTTGGGGTAAAGAGGGCATGAGTCTTGTTTGAGTGAACAATAAAAATAATTAGCAGATTGGCAAATAAATATAATAATCTATCTAAAATAAAATGACATGCATGAACAAAAACATATTAAAGAGAACTTCTATACATTTGTGGGGGGAACGGTGAAGGAAGGGTGAATGTAAGGGGCTAAAAGGGTATAAGCCTTGTTTTGGGTGAATAACTTCATAGCTTCAACATACACTTATCATTTTTTATATTTTTGCATCAAAATAAATGGAGAACAAATTGCCAGAAATAAAAATGGGGTTCTTTTGTTTGACATCATCATCACCTGACTGTAGATTTGATACAACAACAACAAAAAACTTGTACCTGCTAACAAAATAGACTAAATTTCAAGACATAAAACATAAAATTGTATTGTTGAAATACACATTTTTAGTATCAAATCATGTCACGCTGCTCCTTTGTTATATCAATACAAAAAAGTGGTTTGCAATTCAATATCAATGCAAACAAATATACACACACATACACTACTCCCACTTATCAAATTTTACAGCCAGTTTGTTAGTAGTGTGGTACAGTTCATAGCATCCTTCAATACAAAGTGGCACCTGAAATATCTTTCACCGGTAACCTGTCACGTTGCATTTGCAGCCTTTGTATTTCTGCATTCTAACACTGATCTTTTTCTACATAAACTGCCGTGCACTTTCTTCTGTAAATGGGAGTATTTCAGGAAAGCCCTGCAAATCACAATGCCAGTTATCAACCAGTGTGGGGTATAGCAAATCTTCCACGTACTCGTCAAATGATGATGATTCTGCATCAAAAGTGGCATTGATATCCTTGTCATGTGCAGACTCAGACACAATATCTTCAAAATCGACAGGCTCTGAATGAATACTTTCACTAGAGCTATCAATATCAGAAACTTCCAATTCCAGCATTGATAGGGGATGGATAACGGTTGAGAACTTGGCTTATATTGACTGTTCTTGTCGCTGTTTTTTATCCAGTTTTGCAAGATTGTGAAGTCCACTTTGCAGCTGGAGCTCGGTTTGGTGCCCCTGGTGGCACTATGAGCTGTGATTATCGGTTACTGACTGAGTTCCATTTAAACGAGCACATAAAATGAAGGAAGCTGCAGGAGATGCGGTAGCTGCTGCTCGTGAGTCCCAGCCATCTAGTTTAGCCCCAATCCACCCCGCGTGAGCAGTGTGGGGAATACCCTCGGCGGTGGCAGAAGTGCACAACTGACACGCGACTGAGGCCCTGTTAGGGTATATTTTCCACCTCGATAATTTAGGACCATTATTCGGAGGATAGCCAATTTATTGTACCCAGTTTTGTAGCAAATATAAGACACTGGCTTATTTTCAGCGAACTCAAACACAGCAGACTGAGCGAACAGTAAACAGTAATTGTAGACGAGACAGGAAACCCGGACATAGAAAGAGGAAACATTACATCATATTTAATTTTTGAATGGCTCTCCTCCGAACTTTGTCCCGATATTATGGCGGCCATAAAAAATCCTTACGGGGCTCAGGCATATGTAAAATGCGGACTTTCTGCCAAGGAACAAATCGCAGCAAAACTAGGATTACTTGACAATTTCAAGAGACACAACATTGCAGGACGATAGTAGCAGACGATAATAGCAACCGTTGACAATTTCGAGCATTTCTGCAGACAATAGTAGCAGACGACAATAGCATGCGCAAAACGCGATTAAACCCACCGCCGAGGGTAGCGGCACGAATGGGAGGCTAAACTAGGTGCCTAGGGCTCACGAGCAAAATAACTGGAGGAAGTTGCAGGAGATGCGGCAGCTGCCGCTCGTGAGTCCCAGCCATCTAGTATAGGGATACGGTCGGCGGTGAAGCACAGTCACAGAAACAGGTCCGCAAGTAACATATCGCTGAGACCATGTTAGAGCATTTGTTTCGTTATACGGAGCTGGTATATTTTTAATACAGCTGAGCCCCGTAAGGATATTTTATGGCCGCCATAATATCGGCATCGGGACGAAGTTTGGAGAGCCTTTTGAATTTTCAGAAAGTAAGAAAAGTTTATACTTTAACTTTATCAGAGTACTCTTTTAATATTACATAAACTTGGGGAAAGCGCGAATAGTATGTAAAGTGTTTGCGATCTGATGTCGCAAAATTACCTGACATGTTCTTTATTTATGTCGATTATCTAAATATAAACAAAACACAAACGACAATGATGACCGAAGCAACCAAAACTACTTCCGGCTTTCCTGTTGAAGAGAATCTGAAAATTAGACTGAAGTCATCTTTTGGAAAACTACAGACAAACGAAACAAAACACGCAGATCATAACAGTCTGAAGAGAATGGTGTAGCTGGATAACCAGAGGCCCTAGATGACACTACGCCAGGGGTGTGCAAACTATGGCCCGCGAGCTAAATCTGGCCCTCAGAGCAATTTTTACTGGCCTGCGAGGGTGACGTAAAATTACCATTGATTTGGCTATGCTCCTTGGCATGGCTGAGCTCCCCCCCCCCCCCCACACACACACACACACATACATACGCGCACTACCCTAGTGTTTTTTTTTTTAGAGAGCAGCTCCCCACCATATATACAAACAAGTAACAGTTATCATTACATATAATAATCTGAAAACTGGATATAGAAACAAAAATGTCAAATTTTGACCTCGTTCAGCTGCCTGCAGGCTTGCTATATTGAAGTCGGTTTCTTTGTGGTTTGATTCTTGATTCTTGGTTCCTTGTGGTGAATATTTTCACCTAATTTTGGTTCCTTGCTGCATTGGTTTGGATTGGGATTGGACGTTCTACTAGTCCTGAGAAGGACTAGTAGGGTTTGCCTGGGGCGGCCTCGGACGGGAAACACACATATAATAATATATATTTTAATAGCGTATTCTAAACGGCAAAATATAGTGACATCTAAAATAATACTTTAGTTACTTTACGTATACAGAAACAATTTAAAAGCGAGATATAAGTTTTTGGGGGAGGGGGTGTCATGCAAAATTATTGTTAGAGGGGTGAAGGGAAGGCATTATTTGCCGGGGCCCCCAGGTTTCGGCAACCCTTATTCAGGTCCGTCTGTGTATAAATAGAGAAGGCCGTGCCATATCACACCTACATATGGGTTTTTCAAATTTTTTCTGCATACAAAGTTTAGTTGGACTTTACGAACACACTATATATACATATGTGTGTGTCTACATGTGTGTGTGTATAAAGTATACATTATAAATGCAGCTGGCATAGCGAATTTAACTATAACCCTGAGGGAAAAACACCCCTGTCCCTTCCCCCCCCCCCCCCCCATTTTCCTCTTTCTAAATGGGTGTGGCCAGGAAAGAGGACTATATAGGAAGCCAGAGAAGAATAAGAAGAAAAAAAAGCACAGAACTGTTGTCGTCAGCCGTCACACGCTGCATGATTTACTAAGGCGGAGGTCCGAGTACTTATGGACTGAATGGTTCGATGTGCAATGAGGATAATCTGTCGACTAACTTAGTCAATAAAAATATTATTGCGCCATATGCCCAGTGCGCTAATGTCGTAAAAGGGTCCATTCAAACACTAATTTTTTCCTGGAAAATATCGGGAAAGCCCGCAAAATGTGAAACGTTGTAACAGGTCCGTCTGTGTATATATTTATAAATAGAGAAGGCCGTGATCCAAAGTAGAGTGGAAAAAACAAAACATAAGTTCACTCTAATCAGGCTTTGGTTGAAAAAAAAAAAAAAAACAGTTCCGAGAATTGTTAGGGTGTATAGTGTTTCAAGTTCAAATATTAAAACAAAACAGGTGTTTTTAAAACTAACTTTCTTTTCAGTTTTTAGGTACAAAATTTTTTTAATGATTCAAGAACTTTCTTTGTCAAAGTTCATTTTAGCTTGCTGCTTGTGAGAATAGTTTCAGCAACCTGGGAATCAGAAAGGTGATATTTACAGCTTGCGAACTCTGTGTTTTGAAACAGTTTCTTTATCGGAAAACAGAGGAAGGCTCAGTTGTTGGCTGTCCACACGACCGCCTCTTGGGGTGAAAAAGGTACAGGAGGTCGTAGTTGCACACCATGGATGACAGCGAAATGGATGGCCCCAGTTATGAAAGTAAGAATGTCTTTTAATTATACGGGCTTTATATATATTATATATATATATATATATATATATATATATATATATATATATATATACACACACACACACACACACACACACAGACACACACACATACATATTGGAATGTTACTGAGAGTTTTTTGTTTAAATAACTTGTATATTTGGAAGACCGCGATGAAGACAAAGAAGCACAGGAGAAATAACACACAGTAGAACCTACAAATACTTGAAGTCACTAACTGGAAAGAGAAGGACAGTCACAGAGATAGAGACGTGCGATATCCACAGCACAAACCTCATGGGCTAAAACTGATGAAGAAGAACAAGAAGGAGCAGGGGGGAGGAGGAGAAGAGGAAGAAGAAGTTCGTTTTAACTTTAAATATGATGCATTGATGTCCACTTCGCTTTAGCTCTTAAAAGGAGTGAATTCTGTGTTTAAGTCCCCTCCCCCACCTCCTTTTCTTCTCAATGAAGCCTCACTGGTACTGTGTTACAAAGCTCCCTCTACCCTCTTCAGTTCCTGAAACCATGTAATCGCAGTTCTAGCTTCCAAGCAAACGGAAAACCCCCTACTTGTTCCGTTTCTATGTCAACGACGCCACCTCCTGGAGCCCGGCCGTGGTCAATGAAAACCACACAGAATTTGACTCACTGTCCCTTGTAAATAAATTGACACCTACTGCAGTCTCAGCAAAGCCAGTGGCAAACACAGGTATTAAATGCATAAGCGAGCCGCCAGTAGTGCCCTACAAACAGTCTGGCACTAGAAATGCAGGTCATCGTTCTTGGAAGAAGGAGCGGTTACAATAGATCAGTAGTTGCACAAACAATTAATAGCTTAAGGTCCTAACAGTTCTCTGTCAACAGGCCATTGCCTTTTTCTGAATCTGCAGTTAACAGTCACAAACTACGTTGGGCAAGTTGAAAATCATTCCAAATTAAATCCGCTCAGTGTCCTGCAATGCACTTAGCTCAGTAGCTGAGCGACGGAACTATATTATTCCAGTCCCTCTCTGGAGATCGCATCCATACTGCAAGAGTCCTTTTTCGAACTGCTTGGTGGCGAGCAATTCTAAGCTAATTTTTATGGCTCACATAACCATTGTCACAATTATAACCTAAAGCTCCCCTTAAGGGATGCTTGCTGAATGTGACGACCCCCTCCCCCTCTCCACAGAGCAGCCGACCATATAACATCTAGAGGCGTAATGTGATGTAACAATATCACTATTAAGCACAAAATATTCCTATTGTTTAGGACAAGGCCTCGATTTATAAGGTTTACCCCACCTGAATAATGTATAGTCTGTCAACTTTAACAAAATGCTAATTGAAAAGGGGGGGGGGGGGGGGACTATTATCTAACAGTTCAACTCTTTCTTCTTCTTCTTCTTCTTCATGTTCACCGGTTATAAACACCAAAGTTCTGGTCGTTCGTCAACTTCTGGACTTATTCTTGTTCCAGAACCGGAATGTTGTATGCATATCTGTTTTACAGATCTGACTTTTTGTATGCAGACTGTTGGTTTCTTGCTTCTCAGGCAGATGTAGTCTGGCGTCGAAGGAAGCCCCTGAGATAGTCGACTCTGATGAGTTGCTAATTGCCGAGGCAACGGATCTATTCTTGTCCTCCCACCCCCAACCACAAAGGGGCCCCAGAACCCACATAGGGAAACATTTTATTTAAGTGGGGTATAAACGTGAGTGAACTGAGCAAAATGGCGAAGGATGGGACGTGACATTAGCTGGTTGAGAACCTGTGTTTCTTTGGGGGATAAAAAGGGCAGAAGAAGAAGAAAGAAGTACTTGTATATTATTTTCAGAATAAATTGAAATAGAGGAAGACAACGAGAGAAGATTCTTGACAGTCTTGTTGCATTGCATAGAGGTGTGTCGGCACACGAGCTGATACATGCTGCAGGAGATCGTGGATTATGGAGAGGTATGATCGCCCACGACAGTCGGCAAGGCACCTGATGATGATGCTGATGATGACGATGATGATGATGATGATGATGATGATGATGATGATGATGATGATGATAAATTGAAATGCAGGCTCGTTTGATTTCGCATTGTCTAATGGTTATACCCAACAAAGATATTATTCCTAATTATATTATTGACATGTACATTGTAATAATGTTTTTATCCTTTTTTTCCCCTTGTAAATTCAGAATCAAAAGTTTGCCAGGAAACTGCATCACAAGCGAAAATAGAGGAGTATAATCATTTGCTTTCTAATTACAATAGCTAAAATAATACGTACATCTTTATCTTTATATTCTTGTAACTTTTGAAATTATAAATTCAAAGAGTATACTTAAATTATTCTCATACATCCGGCGTAAAACTGACCACATTACATACGAGTGCCAGTTGGTCTGTAAAAATATTGGTCCTCTTCCTATATGCACGATGCGCCTAAAGGCGTGAAAATGGATCTTTACTTTTACTTTATTCACATAGTTGGATAACACACTATGGACATGACAATTATTTCAAAAAGGACACTTATAATCTATTGTACTTTACATTATTCATATTATCTATTATAAATCAAAGCTCTAATCTATGTTGTTGTTATTGTTATCGATCCAGGGGCGCGTGAGCTATCGCCCTTTGGCTCATCGCCATGTAGTTGAATTTACATGTCTTCACAAGCTGTTATTTTACTCCGTGCAAGGTGTTTCAATTGTCTGGTCCACTTATAATATATGCAATATTAACTGATAAAAACTATTAGATGAACAAAAAAATATTCGGTGTTAAAAAAAAGACACACACGCACACACACAAACGCGTGCATGCCCACACACACACGAACGATTTCATTGGACCGGAGTTTATCCCATATGGCTCAGCCAAGTCCATCTTTAGACTATACATTTATATCTCCAGAAGGGCGTGGCTCAGCCTGTCTCCGCAGAACAGCTAGCTGCCTGCCGAGATAGTCGCACAAAGCACGACCTACGTAGCTCCAGTGACAATCCCGAGGGCTGTCTGTAAAAACTGCACTCGTGAACTGAACGGCGACGCCATGAAACGAGCCCACGACCTTTAGAGCGCGAGGCAAACGGCTTGACCACTTCGCCGAAGAATGCCTTTTGTCATGACATTTTGGGAAGAAAAGCTCTCCCGTGTACAGCAGCTGGGAAAAGGAGACGCGGACATCCCAAGCTCAGTGTAAACTCCACGAATGTGCAGCGGCTTTTAGCAATTGTATTTGACATTGCTGATGTCCATCCTCAGGCTTGACAAACGAGCAGTTGGGGTATTTCGGTGTTAGAACAGTAAATGTCATGTTCCCTAAACCGATCCTCGAGTATAGCGTATGGACAAGCAGGTCTCTGCGAAATTTGAGAAGCTTTCAACCCCATAGCACTGATTCAAATGTGTTTTGAAGCGACCTTTGACGGACAATTAACATTTACAGAACTCAAGCAGGGTCGAACGGTGCGCAGTCAGAAAGACGAAACAAGAATCAACACAACAAACATTAAGTTTTTATGGCGTAGCTCCAAACACTGTCTTCGTCTATTAATTAGATTGGTACTTGTATTTTATAAAACCACATCACGCCGGCTACGAGATTTGGCAGGGGATGTTTAGGTATTCCTGGGGGTTTTCCTGGACAGTGAGGAGTTAGGGTTAGGGCTATTATTAAATGAACATCGATTATGGTACTTTCTTATTAGCTGACCACAAACAGGGAAAATCCACAGGTCACGCGAGAGTCAAATATTTCAGGTGGTGGTAGATTAAGCGTATAGTTTTGGTTAGGGTTACGTAAACTCGCGAAAACCTTGGCCTTGGAAGAAACGCGCTAAAGCACAGAAACCACGGAAACTCCGCTCTTACCCCCCTCTAAAATATTGAACTGTCCCGTGACGTCATTTGTGGTCGGCTAAAAAGAGAGCACCGTGACTACTACTAAGCCTAACCCTAACCACCCTATGCTATGTGTCGTCCTGGCGATTTCCATACCAAATCTCGAAGCCAACGTGATGTGGTCGTATAAAATTAAAGATTTAGTATTATAAAGTTAAGGCTCAAATATTTTAGCAATCTTCTGGAGTGAGAAATGAATTAATCCACGTCACGCTATTAATTGCCATGAGAAAACGCTTTTTAGTTTTCGAACAACTTGGTTTCCCAACAACTTTTAAAAACGAATTAATATCGAAAACCGAGGACACCAACGTGCCATATGTGATAAGGTATTTTCAGTGTGCACCAAACAACAAAGAATGTAAGAGCTCTTTAGCTTCTCCGTGCAATAGAAACCTGGATACTCATTCTAATACCGAACTTGGTATGTATATTTCTGTATCCGTCACAGTTAGACTCTCACACTTTGTTTACGTGCATGGCGATTTATCGTTACCTTGAATTATGAGTTGGAGTATCTTCACAGCACTCCGGGCACATCCACTGGTGCTCAGATTCCCCTATCAACATGTTCCTCAGCGTCGCGCGGTTAATATGGCTAGTACTATGCTGGTTTGGCTGTGCCGATCTTTACTCTCAGTTTTCGTATTCTTAGAAGTTATGTGGACACATTGCTTCCAAAATCCCCGGAACGTGCTATCTCTCTAAGGGCACTGCGTGATCCATGAATCGGCCATCTTAAATTTATGCGGCACCTGCCAGTCTATCAGCGCTTTCGTTACCAACAACACCTGCATGACCTTGTATTCAAATGGTACTCTGTTGTGCGCATCCTCTAATTCTAGTGCAGCAGCACACGTCTCTTCTCTCATCTGAAAACCTTCATAGATTTCACAGGCAAAAACTGCTGCATTGAGCCATGTCTCTTTGCCTTTTCTGTATCCTCCAAGTGTGGATGGTAACCTGACATGCTTTTCCAAGTCATCAGCGAGTCTACGTGCTACAATTTTCTCCAGAAGCTTGCCCGTAGTGTTCTGCATGGTAATGATTCTGTAGCCACTGAACATGGAATGGTCTTTATTTGGTTTTGGTAACGGTAGTAGGTAGCTGTGTAGCCACTCCTCTCTGATTTGACCACTTCTAATGATGATGTTTAACTCTCCTGCCAGTTCTGACATATCGTCTTCTGACACCTGCAGCATATCAGCATACTGGATGCCGTCGGGGCCTGGTGAGGGGCTGGGCGATTTCTTGAGAGTTGTCCGTATGGTCTCAGTTGTAATAGTAATTCTAATACTGAAATCGTCATTTAGCTCTGCCTTTTCACACAACTCTTAAAGTGTTGACTTAACTCTCAGTTTGGCTGCCTTATCTTTCTGGTCGGTCAGGTCCAAGTAGCGCTGAAAGAGAGCCTGTCCTTTATCTGCATCAGATTTCTGCCATGTCAAAATTAACATTGTAATCCTCAGCTAAATTTCCTGGTATTTATTAAAGAGTTAAACAACACAGCTAGAATCTTATGTCTGCAAGAAATTATTTTATTGTCTAATCATTCTATACTTTGTTTTTGATTTATCTTTTTACCACAGAGAAGAATCCTATTGTTTTTCACATCCAAGGAGAGGAGTTGCTGTTATCATTCTTTATTCACAAGACTTTAAAGGAGGGGAAAGGCCCGGCTGGAAGATCGACAAGGAAAATCTACAGCGCACATTCTCCCATCTTGGTTTCCGTGTCGATATTTATCAAGACTTGAATAAACAGGACCTGATGGTACATCTTCAAAAAGGTTTGCTAATAATTCTTTTGATTTAGTTTCCGTTACTTCACATTACTCGGCATCTGTGGTTTAGGCGTTACGAACGTGCTTCGTAATTCCGCAGTACCCGTTTCGATTTCCACTGCGTGCTATTTGACAGCAGACAGCTTTGCGTTAATTTCGACAGTTGTCTTGGGCACCAACCGTTCTGAAATAAATGATTACCTCTTCTTCTGCCTTTCTAACCTCCAATAGAGTATAGGCCCTCAACCAACTGATGCCATGTAGTTTTATCCTTCGCTATCGCCCGTGTGTTACCGGAGCCCTCACGAGGAACAAAGAATAGTAACAACACGCACCCTGCCTAACAACTTCTGTTGTGTGACCTCCATTTGTATATTTATATAGTAGACGTTTTTCCGTACTATTCCATTGTAGAATTTATTTATTTTTTGGCGGAGGGGGGGGGGGGGGGGGGTGTGGTTACCGTCTGTCTATGTGTTTCTATTTTTAGTCCATGTAGTATGCACTGCAACGCCATCTCTAATAATGTCTAACAACTAAATTACGTCACTTTTTAAAGGAGTACCTGGGAAACTGGTTACTGGAAGCTCTTTCCATGTGTAGCATCGTGTGACATTTTAATGTGCTTACAAACTTATGTGTTCTAAATGTATTCGTATTACAAATCGACAAGCGGAAATTGTGAAGTGGATATACACGATATTGCTTTCATATTGACTGTGTATAAATAGTGCAACTACACTGTGGATAAATAGTGTCAAGATATTTCGGAGCTCTGGGTAAGTTGATAAAAACAATTTTTAATTTACTAACGAACCTCTCATAGCAATTCACTCTTTGCCTCTTTACTAATTGTTGACTAACAGTATAATTATATGTTGTAGAAGTACACTAACAATATTAATCCTCAACCATTTGTGTTCAGTTTTATAAATTGTCTTCTGCTTCGCGAACACTGGCTGTAAACTCTGGCAGAAACTTCTGGTTGTTCATCTACTTCTTATGCACATTTGCAGTTGTAAATAGAGAAGGCCGTGTATGCACTGCTGGTGGCACATCCATTGTGATCTGTATCTTGTCACTGAGTCCTGGGCATATTTATATCTGGCAATGGCCTCAGCTATACAGTCTAATTCTTTATCAGGACCCACAGCCCACTGGGGTATTATTGGCCATCTATCTGTTTCTCAATCTGCTGTTCTCAGTCTGCATGATAGTGTCGGTGCTTCCTCTTCATTCTTCTGCTCTCGACCTTAAAAGGGCAGGGCGCTATGTTGTGGTTTATAGCCAGGCTGCGATATCTGGGCCTTTCGACCTAAGACATCCGATTTCGGCAACTCCTAATTAGTCGCTTTGTTAGGGAAGCGGTGAGTCAAACAGGGCTATTCTTCTTCTTCGCGTTCACCGGCTGTAATCTCTAAATTTCTTGTTGTTCGTCCACTTCTGGATTGCAGTCCTGTTTCAGAACCTGAGTGTTGCATGTGCATCCGTTTGACAGATCTAGCTGATTTGTGCACAGACTGTTGGTCCTTGCCTCGCATGCAGATGCACTCCGACTTCGAAGAAAGCTTGCAATTAGTCGACTCTTACGACATGCTTTTGGGTAGGCAGTGAGTCTATTCTTGTTTTCCCTATAATAGGGCCTCGGAACCCACACAATTTAATCATGGGCACAAATTTGAAAAAGATTATCGTCACAGGCCAAAGCCCCAGCATAAAAAGAACATTAATACAATACAACTACATAATTGCATTAACAAAGTCACTATTGCATTTCAGTGTCCAGGGAAGATCACAGCGATTGTGACTGTTTTGTGCTTGCGGTGTCTTCTCACGGCCAGGAGTGTCATGTCGGTGGAGTCAGAGAAGACACAATCCTAACAATTGACACTTCGATCAAAACCAGAGAGGTCGTGGATATGTTTACTAACAAGGCTTGTCCTAGTCTGACAGGAAAACCTCGACTATTTTTCATACAAGTGAGTATAAATGTGTGCGTCTGTGTGTTTTTAAAATTATGTTTTCACTGAGTCTCTGCGCACGCACGCGCGCTCGTGTGTGTGTGCGTGTGTATGTGCGTGCGTGCGTGCGTGCGTGTGAAAAGGGCGTAGGGGGTTGGCCTTTTTTTTTTTTTTTTTTGCTTTTAAAAAGTAATTCAGTTTGTGATTAATTTATTAAACAATTTCTTAATGTATCCCCAATGTGTCATCATCTTTATTATATTTTTAAAGTGTAAAACAAAATAATTTAAAATTGATGACACGACTGCAATATTCTTATTATTATTATTTGCATTATTATTATTTGTATTATTATTATTATTAGCAGCAGCAGTAGCAGCAGCAGTAGTAGCAGCAGCAGTAGTAGTAGCAGCAGCAGCGGTAATAATAGCAACAACAGTAGTAGCAGCATTAGTAGTAGTAGCAGCAGCAGTAGTAGTAGTCGTGGTGGTGGTAGTGGTGGTAGTAACAGCAGTAGGGGTATTAGTATTTACTCGTAAATCCTTAATAGCATGTTCGCTTGTCTGGATTATATTTTTTTCAAATAAATAAATTCCTATTCTAGGTACATTTCTTACGAATTCTAGTGAGCACATGTATGTGAGGAAGTGAAATGTTTCCAGTGAACACATGTATGTGAGAAAGTAAAATAATTCTAGTGAACACATGTATGTGAGGAAGTAAAATGATTCCAGTGAACACATGTATGTGAGAAAGTAAAATGATTCTAGTGAACACATGTATGTGAGAAAGTAAAATAATTCTAGTGAACACATGTATGTGAGGAAGTAAAATGATTCCAGTGAACACATGTATGTGAGGAAGTGAAATGTTTCTAATGAACACATGTATGTGAGAAAGTAAAATAATTCTAGTGAACACATGTATGTGAGGAAGTGAAATGTTTCTAGTGAACACATGTATGTGAGAAAGTAAAATGATTCCAGTGAACACATGTATGTGAGGAAGTAAAATGATTCTAGTGAACACATGTATGTGAGAAAGTAAAATAATTCTAGTGAACACATGTATGTGAGGAAGTAAAATGATTCCAGTGAACACATGTATGTGAGAAAGTAAAATGTTTCTAGTGAACACATGTATGTGAGGAAGTAAAATGATTCCAGTGAACACATGTATGCGAGGAAGTAAAATGTTTCTAGTGAACAAATGTATGTGAGGAAGTAAAATGTTTCTAGTCAACAAATGTATGTGAGGAAGTAAAATGTTTCTAGTAAACACATGTATGTGAGGAAGTGAAATGTTTCTAGTAAACACATGTATGTGAGGAAGTGAAATGTTTCTAGTAAACACATGTATGTGAGGAAGTAAAATGATTCTAGTGAACAAATGTATGTGAGAAAGTAAAATGATTCAAGTGAACAAATGTATGCGAGGAAGTGAAATGTTTCTAGTAAACACATGTATGTGAGGAAGTAAAATGATTCGAGTGAACACATGTATGTGAGAAAGTAAAATGATTCAAGTGAACACATTTATGTGAGGAAGTACAATGATTTTTAATTTTTATTTGACACTATTTACGCACTAGGAATATGGTGTTGGTTTTATAGACCAATCGGTCTTCGGCAGTTTGTGTGTCAAAAGATAGACAGGTAAGCTTTACCCCATCAGGACATCACACAAGCGATAAACACCCAGTGACACAAAATGCCCCCACGAGGATGAGGATCACCAGTGGAGAGGTCATGGAAACCCTGTTCAGCCGTAATCCATATTTCAGGCCCGACTATATTTAGGGTCCCCCGGCAAAAGCCAGGGTGGGGCTTCAAAATAACTAAACATAGCATCTAACAGGGGGACGACTTCGATTATGGTGTAACATGTTGTCAAAATCACGCCCATGTCATTTATTTCCTCGGAAATTTGAAGTACTAATTTTATTATCGGCGACCGGGTGGCCCACTGGCTCGCCGGTAGACGACTTCGTCGCTGGTCGGGACAGTATTTTGGTCTGTCTTTCTTTATCACGTCAACAATACAAGAGTCTTTTTCGGGGCTTTTGATGGCGTGCAGTGCTAAGCCATTCTATATGGCGCACATAACCTAGTCACAATTATAACCTAAAGCTCTTTTTTCAGGGATGCTGCGAAGCCCTACCCACATACCTACCTATTTTAGACTGGGTCCATCATGAAACCTGGGTAAATTTCAATAAAAACAGCATCGGTGCCGACTCAGACCCATGCAGTCGTGCTGACTGGCAAGCGTCTAGCTGCTGCTGAACTGCGGCTTACACGGCGTAATAACATTATGAAATGAAAACACGAAAGGCAATATTACCTTATAATTCAGCAGGTCCTTTACAAACGTCGCTCTCGTCACGGCATGTCTAAAAGTCGCTCTTTCTCTAGCCAGTTGTCCAGCCCTTTGTGCTTTCATAGCCAATATTGAATGTTGAATTAAGAATCGACATCACAGCACTCGGGACGCTGTCATCTTCAGGAGTTTCAATTCCGATGATACCAGTAATGCTGAAATATCCGTCTCTCCATTCCTTTCCTAGCCAGTGCATAGTAAATGTCTGGTGTCCACCTTCACGGAAGTTCTGCTTCTGTCTACTTTACCGGAAACTGTACCATCCATCACCGCTCTCTCCATGCCACGGTGAAGTTTAATATGACCAAAATATCTCAGCTTCTGGGGCAAGATGCTGTTTATGAGCCAATTCTCCTGGATGCTAAAATCTTATAGGATGTCGGTGTTTTTCTTTTTCCTGGCTGAAATTCTATAGGATGTCGGTGTTTTTCTTCTTCCTGGCTGAAATTCTATAGGATGTCGGTGTTTTTCTTCTTCCTGGCTGAAATTCTATAGGATGTCGGTGTTTTTCTTCTTCCTGGCTGAAATTCTATAGGATGTCGGTGTTTTTCTTCTTCCTGGTTAGACAGGATGCTTTTTATGAACCAATTCTCCTGAATGCTGAAATTCTTTAGGATGTCGGTGTTTTTCTTCTTCCTGGTTAGACAGGATGCTGTTTATGAACCAATTCTCTTAAATGCTGAAATTCTATGGGATGTCGGTGTTTTTCTTCTTCCTGGTTAGACAGGATGCTGTTTATCAGCCAATTCTCCTCGATGCTGAGATCACGTAGGATATCTGTGTTTTACTTCTTTTTGGTCCATGGTATTCAGAGAATCAGTACAACCTTCTAATCTGCCCCCCCCCCCCCCCTCCCACCTGGATTTGTGTCCGACAGATTGCCACTCAGTGACTGAAAGAGACACCTGTCAGATTTACATCCGCCAGGAGCATATCCCACATCTTGGTTCAGTCCTATTCATGGCAACATACCGTCTTTTCAAAAGAGAGAATGGTATTGTGGAATAAAAGGCTTTAGAATAATCGCAGATGGTTATGGTGGGTGTGACTATCAAGACCCCCTCTTATTAGGAAATCTGCAATAATCAGCGCACCGGATTTCAAGATTAATAATGCCATCGCATGTTTACATTTAGCCTTTTCTTAGACGCTCAGCTTTGACCTATCTGCAATACTTTTCTCCATTATAATTTTTTCCTTCTTCATCTCATCACCATTTCAGAATAACTAAAAATGATTGCCTAGAAATGGCTAATAAAGATAAAACATTATATACAACAACGAGAAGGAGACAAAGTTCTTTGGTCATGTAATGAGAAAAGTAGCACTGAATAATATCGTGACGACTGGAAAGATCACTGGTAGAAGAGGCAGAGGCAGACTAAGAGAAACGACGGTGGGTGGTTTAAGACAGTTACCCCGAGAAAATCATCAGAACACCTAAGACCGAGATCTGTGGAGATGCACTTACGGCAGCTGGCAAGGCACTTGATGATGATGATCTTCTCCCACTGTCATGCAACACGTTGCATGGCTGTTGTTTCCACTAATCTACCATAGTACCTGTATCCAGGGCCGTACCGTGCTATGATACAGAGAGGCGGATGCATCAGGTGGCATTGTAAAAAAAAAGGGGGGGGGGAAGCGGCATAAGCAGAGAAATCAGATTACAGTCTGAACCATCCATTTCTCTGACAATGCAAAGTAATTAGGTTCGACATTTCAGAGACTTGCATCATACTGAGAACATTTACCGCACGGGACTGCCTGTACCATTCATGTGCCACTTGCACATATCTCTATATCGTAGCGAGACCAATTTCGACACCTTGCTAAGTGCTTTAAACCGTTATATTATGGCACATTGTGGTTACAAAGTAACCTTATGTCCCGTAGATTGATTTTAATTTGTCATTTTATCTTAACTTACAGTCTGGTGTGTGGCTCGAATCACAAAACAACACTCACGTATGTTTACTCAGTGGTTCAATGAGTATGACCCGAAGAGGTCAGGCAGGTTCAGGGCAGAAAGTGGCTTGAATTGTTACAGAAGTCAATTGTGCGTGGAATCACCTTTATTTTCATGCCTGGAGACGCGGGCGTCGTTGGAACGGGAAAATCTGATAGACTGGCTGGATCTGTTATCACTACCAACGGTCAACCTATGGATCATGCTGATATTATTAATGCCCTCCGAGAATTGGGAAGGGTGGAGGACTTTGGGGGCCGTGAATCGACATCACTCACCAAAATGATAGGCTTGTGAGTTAAGATAGGCATAGCAAAAAAAACGAGACACGCAAGAGGCACATCAGAGGACTTGTTATTCAGTATAGAAATGGTACTATTAGACACCGCGCTGGGGATCATACTTAGGGGAGGATCGGAGCACCAATGGACATCTCCAGAGTGCAACGATGATAACTAATTAACTAACTAAGCCTGGTGGCCATTTTGTCTATCTTTAAGGCATGTCGAGGTCAAAAATTAGACCATGGACACGAAATACTCCCGGAGAAATCAACAAGTAATGACGACACGCTGGACGCTTCTCCTGTAGACAGTGACCTGACAGATGTCATTCCTATGGGTTTTATACACCACCGTTACCTGCACACCATGCAGCAGAATACTGCTGTTGCCAATTTGATGTCTCGTCTGAGGTAAGTAACTTTAACAAATTTTCCAACAGTTTGCAAAAAAAAAAAAAAAAAAAGCTCGCCTCTGGACGCTAGACTGTAAATATTAAAATATATTCGATTCATTGATTCGCAAAAAACAAAAATCTCAAACCTCCCCCTCTTTCAGCTGGCTAGTGAGATGGAAGCAATTGTGGTTGGTGGTCATAACATAAACAACCTGCGCTATACCGATGACACCGTCTTGATAACGATAAGTCTGAAAGAACTTTATGAATTGATAGATGTGGTGGTGGCAGAAAGTGATAAAATGGGCCTCAGTTTGAATAATTGGAAGACAGAAGTAATGGTGATTTTCAAGAAAGGGATATTATCTAAATGTATAATAAAAGTCACAAAAGTTATTTTTGGACAAGTACAGAAATGTATCTTGGCACATGGATAACTTCTATTGAAAGAGTTATGATAAAGAACAGAATAGGACAAGCCAAAAAATGCATTTTATAAATTAAGAGCAATTTATGCAATAAATCCAGGTCATTGGAGGTTAGGAAAAAATTATTGCATGCTATATAGAGTCAGTTTTAACCTACGGATGTCAATCCTGGACAACTAATAAACAGGCCAACAAATACCTTGAGGCCTCAGAGATGTGGTTTACAGAAGAATCCTTAGAATTCCTTGGACAGCTAAGATGAGCAACCGAGATGTTTCGAAAAAGGCGAGTTCCCGGAAACAAAACAGTCATAATTGTTTGGGTCATGTTATGAGAATAGGGAAAATGGAACATGTTGTGATCACTGGAAAGAACTGTGAGAAAAGAGACAGAGTAAGACAGCGTGAGAAATTTATTGACGGCCTTGTGTCATGGCATGGAGGGGTGTCAGCATACGAACTGAGACATGCAGCTGCGGATCAAAGATTGTGGAGAAGCATGATCGCCCACGCCAGTAGCCACGGCACTTGATGATATCGAAGAGAGTTTCATTGCTGTCTTTTGCTGTCATTCTAATTCTTTATGGTGTGCAATTACACACGTTTCTCCGTTTCTTGGTCTGGTGCGATCTTTTAGGTCTTGGAGGGTATGGTTGTCTTTTTCACTCATATCCCTAGGGGTTTTTGCAGTTTCTTTGCTGGAAAATACACATCACATTTTCTCAAAACACAAGGCAACAGGTTATTTTGTGTAGTGTCCCAAAAAAAAAACTGTTTAAAACGGCTAAGCAGGATATACGTGGTTTTTCGATCACGTTGGACCGGCGTTAGAAAAGTGGTTCCTTGAGGTAGAGTGAGTGAGTGAGTGAGTGAGTGAGTGAGTGTGTGTGCGTGCGTGCGTGCGTGCGTGCGTGCGTGCGTGCGTGCGTGTGTGTGTGTGTGTGTGTGTGTGTGTGTGTGTGTGAAACAGATGGCGAAAACATTTAAACAAAGTGTTTGTTTAATTTAACAAATTCCATTGGATTCAATTTAAACAAAAATTATGGTAGCTATAGGAAAAAAAGTGGAAAAACTTGATCTGCATGCAGTAAAAGTGAATCTGATTTGCAGAAAGGCATGTCTGTGGGGTACATAAATAATTATCATTTTAATATACTTAACCCCCCCCCCCCCACCCACCCCTCTTCGAATCTGCCCAGCCTCTTCCCTTAACCAGTTCATGTGAAGTCGCTCTATCCTTGAGTGACATTCAACACCACTAGGACGGCACTACCAGCATCCAACACCCGGTGACACAAAGTGACCCTATTCAGATGAGAATCCCCAGACCAGTGTCCCAGAAACCCTGTTCAACCATTAGATTGTATGGTAGGTATGTAGGTAGCTGTACTCCTACCAGGACATCACACAAGCGATAAATGCCCGGTGACACAAAGTGCCACCATGCGTATGAGGATCACCCGTGGAGAGGTCCCAGAAACCCCTTTCAGCCGCCAGGTCATATCTCTGCCCCAGCTATATTCGGGGCCCCCGGTAAAGGCCTGGGTGGGGCTTCAAATAACAAAAAAATTGCATCGCACAAGGGGCGACCTAATTAAATTTATGTATAGATTGTATGAAGTTCCCTGACGACAGGGCTCACCACAAGTCTTCCTCACTGTTCTGTACTCAGTCTGTATTTTCCCTCCCGTTTTTTTTTTTTTTTTTTTTGGTTGAATGGATAGCAAAGTAAGGATATTTTAGTTTACATTGTAATTATATTTTTTAAATTCGTATTCAATCCAGCGGCAGCGTCTTTTCCTCACCTCAAAGTTCATTGGTTTTTTCTTTGTTTTTTTTCCCTACCACCCATTCCCACCCAAATCAGACATGTTACCATAACCAAACAGGGGAGACAAGTACTGCAGGAAGGCGCATTACCCAAACAGGTGGTCTCCCCTGCTCCTTGTCATGAAGATTTCTTGGTGATGTACGCCACACCTCCAGGTAGGGACTTAATATAATTTGATTTCAGTTACTATTTTATGCATTCTTCTCTCTCCATTTCCTTGTCTTCTTATCTTTGTGGTCTGCTGAAGATACAATCAAGAATGCTAGATGTGGTCAAGGCTCTTTGGAGGCAAGTGAACTATGCGGAGAAACTTATAGATTATTATGGTCAGGAGAGAAAAAGCTAGAAGTGACCAGTGGATATGATAGACATTCTATACTCAGAGGAAAGAACTGATGCAGTATAGTATACATTATGTATTTTTTACATTTTGTACAATAATTATACATACATACATACACACACACATACATACATACATACATACATACATACATACATACATACATACATACATACATACATACATACATACATACATACATACATACATACATACATACATATGTATGTATGTACATACGTTCGTACAAACATACACACATGCATTTTTATTTTTTATGTTAAATTTGTTAAACCTGTTTAAAAATGGTGTTGGAAAATATAAATTAGCTTACAACTTTTACCTGTCAATTGGAACAGAACTTCACCGTAAGCTGAGCACACTCTTGTATCCAGGTGCAAATTCCACAGCATTGCACCTGATAAGATACATGTAATATGCCAGGTAATAAACTGTGCAATATTTTGTTGGTGTTTCCTTAATGTCATTGTCCATTATTCAACTCTTGTTTTTATGCAGGTTACTTCGCATTTCGTCGCCAAAATGAAGGTTCGTGGTTTGTCAACTCCTTAACTAAAGTCTTGTATGCCTCTGACGGCACCAGAAATCTCACCAAAGAGCTGACTCGCGTCATCAGGCTGGTTGCTGAAAACTTTTTCTCAAAAAATAAAGATAAGGATTTACACGGAAAAAAGCAGACACCTGTGCTGTATTCAATGCTTTGTAAAGACATTTATATGGGCCCTAAGAAACCTTTGCAAGATGGAAGGTAATTATTAGTTATAAACTTCAGTAATGTGATCAGTAAAATAAAAGGTGGAATTGTTAATAATAATGTACAAACGTTCATTAACTGCTGATTTCTGTCGCATGCAATTGGGAGATATACCGGAAGCAGGTCAATTATCTAGGGTTTTTTATTTATGAATGTAGGTCCTTCACACCTACACACTGGATTCTCTTCATCCACTTACCATGTCGTCCACTTTCCTTGGCGTGGCACACGCTGAGTAGAGGACGGCCAACCCAACAAAAGCACCACAATATTTCAGGCACATGTAAAAACCTATCATAATCTTTTACATTGTCTATGAGTTAGGTTAGTTGTGTATCCTTTACAGGACGTTGCAGAACCAACCCAACAGCCCTTGGCTGTTGTGTGGTTTTTCTTGGCAAATTTACGTCAAGCAGTTTGCCATTGCTTTCTGGGCGGTCAGCTTTCTTGATACCACTGTCGAAACCAACACAAGGCGCATGGCCCAGAGCTGGGACCGAACCCGGCATCCCGGCATTATGAAGCATTCGATTGACTTAGCCTGAGAGCCGACTTGTCTATGAGTACTGTAATATAATACATGACACCAGGTTTGATCTCATTGTGTGATCAATCTCTCTTTTATGGATGAACATATTGCGATGATGATGATGAATGGGTGATCAATGACTCAGTGCCAAGTCTACTTCTGCCTGCCAAATGCACTGACATCAGCAGTTTCTCCAAACATGGACAAACAGCCCAGAGAGCTAGGTACCAGGGGCCTGCTATGAGCAGCTCACACCTGATCTCACAGATACACTTATGTGATGTGCAGTGATAATCCTCTGACGGTTCGTCCTCTCAACGACTCCGCCACCCTAGATGCATCACTTGATGAAAGACCTCAGACCTCCTGACAGCTACCCCAGCCACTCTTTGAAGCATCACTGACTAAAATCTTGTTAATCAGTCCCCGATACTTCCCCATCACAACTCCACATTGGTGAACATCCATAAAGTTCCCCAACCTGCCAAATAGGTACAAATGTGCCGACCCTTCACACATGGGCCACACAGCTGTCAGTTCTAGAAATCACACCAACAGAATTCCGACGTCCAACTCAGATACACCAGTCATCCAGACAGAATAAAACACTGCTAAAACACAGTCCATGCATTTACTGGGCTCAAACAATTAGCACACAAACATATCTACACAGTTAAGACTGACTTAAAGCAACGGACTCAAGTACAATGCACTTCTGCCAACAGCGATCAGTTACATGTGGATCTCACTTTCTAGCCAGCATTCGGGGTTCATAAATCCCTCATGCTGTTGACCCACACGGATCCCACAATTTCAGTTTGTAATAAACTTTGAGTGACACATGTTTTCACCGTCTTCTAGTGACCCCAAATGTTTACATTCACAACCTCACACCCAGCCCTGGTTTCATTTGCTCTTTTCAGTTATTTCACACACAGTAACTTTGAGAGTATAAAGTATTAAAGATAGGCAAACAATTGACTCTTGGGGGATAAAATATGGTGTGGATGTCCAGCATGTAGGCAACAATCAGTCCCAACGACCATGGAGTTGTGCTGCTTGTTTTGGAACAGGCTCTGCTATGACTATCAAGTCCTATGTGAAAGTGAGAATCTTTGCCATTTTGTCCATATTAAAACGTTGATACTCTATTATAGTGTGACTGGTTTTCTATCAAAAGTCTCCTCTCTATAGTTTGCTGCGTTAGGTCTTTTGCAAAGTACGATAGTGTGGCTTACTGCCTCAACAGGAGTCTGTCTACAGTTGATCTCTCTCATGTGTATGTGTCAATGTTGGTATCCAGCAATCTTCATGACATTAGTGATTGTAAATTGATTGATTATGCAATTTTTATGGTTTTAAGAGTGCTGCAAAGACTTAAATGTCTGTGTAAAACATAACAGTGAAAGTGCTAACGGGTGCCTTATCAGGACTTTGGCTGGAATTGCGAAAACCACACCCGTAATTATAAAAAATCAAAGCAATGTTTCCTCACTGTAATAAAAAAAAAAAAAAAAGACACAAACAATAAAGTGAACAATTTATTTCTGTCCAGATCTGAATAAATGAAAGAAGACATGGTAGTGAACCTGTACTTTCCTTAGCAGAAGAGGCTGTTACTTCTGAGAGTGGCTGATTTTGTATTTCTATTGTAAAGGATATTTGTCTCACTTTTTTATCTGTTATTGTAGTGTGCACCTGACGATATGTAGGAAAATACGCCATGCAATAAATTGTGAAATTTACTGTTTGTGTTTTTAAAGAAAGTATTTCTGGTTACTTTTCCCTGTTCATTTTATAACAAATTTGTTTCACCTTTTCTTTTGTCCTTTCATATAGAATTTATTATCCTAATCATTTCACATTTCAGCATTTCACTGTGGATAGATAAATATTTTCATTATAAATCTTGCTTCCATTCATTATTTTTTTAGTTACCCATATTACCAAATTTTTTTTTCAACATCCCAGCACTGTTCCAATTAATTCTGTTTCTATCTTTATTTTCTTTTAAAGAGAAAAGTATATAATGTGTAGGTACAAACACTGACATAGTTTTTAAATTTATATTATTTTTAGATACATTAATATTTAAATAATTGAAAATTATATTTCCATCTGATTTGATTTCATTTGTTGTAGCTTTTTTATGTATTACGCATCATTCACTTGACCAGATGGTATTAAATTCAGAAATAAAGTTGATGATTATTTTTGTTTTGGCGTAACTATTCTTCAACACATCCTCATATCTGACTGACTGACTGACTTTCTACCCCACCAGGACATCACACAAGCGATAAACACCCGATGACACAATGTGCCACCATGTGGGTGAGGATCACCGTGGAGATGTCCCAGAAACCGCGTTCAGCCTCTATTTATGGCCAGGAAATACTGCGGCCCCTGGCAAAAGCTAGAGTAGGGCTTCAAATAAAGAAAAATTTCATCCTACAAAGGACGAAAAGTTATTCTTATACCTCCTCATATCTTGTCTTGCAAACAAGAACAATCCCTGGACATTTAACCAGGAGTACTGCACAAAGAAAATGTAGAGAGATTTAGATCCCTTACACATTTTCTGGGGGAAAGGGAAAGGACCTACACTCTGTTTATAAGTGTAATAATAATAATAATAATAACAGTGTGCTGAATGGCAGAAATATATATTTGAAATAATAAATGTTCATTTTACATTTTTCGTCCCAGAAAGAAAGTGACTTCCCTTTCCATTCATGCCTCCTTGGGTCACAGAACCTTTCCTACGTTGTGGAAGTGTTGTGATATAGCTTGGTTTAGTGTTCGCTCAGCGTATATGTTTGTGGAAGGTTGTGTTGTGCGTGAGACTATTTCAGGCGCCACTGCTGCCTGTGTACATGTAAGAAGTACTGCAGGGAATAGCGCTGCAGGTGCCGTGAAATGAGTATCGGAACTGCGATGTTTTTGTATTTCTACATTCGTTGATGGTGGTTTCCCCTTGAGAGAAAGACAGCACTTACAAGGAAAATAGGAATAGAAAAATATGGTTGTTTCCATACACCCAAACCGTCGCGCAGGTAGCAGAATGCGAAAATAATCACACAAGTGAGCGGTGAGAAGATGAGAAAAAGTGTTGACAATAAAAAACATGACACCCCCATAACGTCGAAGAGGTCCTGCGACCCGACAAGGCATGAATGGCAAGGGAAGTCACTCTCTTTCTGGGCCAGAAAATGTAAAATGATCCATTACTTATATATAGTCAGACTTGTTCCAAAAATATCCTTGTCTTCCAGGTAGACCCTTAAGTGGGTACCAGGTAAAGTCCTGGGAAGTAAAGGTCGCCGGTGTGATGCTGACCACATCACCCAGCGCCGACTGGTCTATCAAATATAGGTCTTTGGTTATGCCATGAGAAGGAGACTTGTGAAATGTGTTGTCTCGTAAGGTCACTAAAAGAACAAGAAGGGACAAGGTAATGAATACCAGCATTAGAGAAACAGATGGCATAAGACCATGTATGAATTATTTTGCGGATGAAGAATGAAATGGTTTGGCCATCAAGTGAGAATGCGGCCAGAGCAAATTGTATACTATATTGTACAGAAGAAGAATTGGGAGGAAGGCAGACAAAAGACTAAGAAAGAGAGGAATAAATGATTAAGCTGGAACTTGAAAAAAAAAATGAACAAATCCCAAGCCATCCGAGAAACGCAAGACAAATACAGAAAACCACAACACTGGGCTACAACCTGATATCAGTGAAAAAAAAAAGAAAATGACAAGGATACAAATGGAATACATCTTGATGAATGAAAACTTAGAGGAGATAAGAAGCAGAGGGAGACCAACAGAAGAGAAGATGCTGGAAAATTTGACACCGTGGCATGAAAGATCATTTGTATCAGAAATGACTGAAAATAGGCAAAAAGAAGAAAATAGATTGACATAACTACTACTGCCACATGGCATGGACTATAAGAAGAAGAAAAAGGAGCAAACATTGGACACTATAACGATTTACATGGCTGACCATCTATCTCTTGCTTGGCTTGTACTAACCAGTGAAAGTGTGCTTGAGTGATGTGGTAGTCAGTAGAGCATTCATGTAAACAGATATGCTTGTCTGTTTGCCTTTGTGTAAATGAAACTTGTGGTTGACAAAGATATGAATACTATTAAGACTAGAAATTCCAGAGAAATTTGACTAAAAAAGCTCAACAAAATGGGGAAGCAGAAAAACGTGAACAAAACAACACAATGTAACGTTTCGGCCGGGCAGCCTTTTTCAAACATTCAACATTTTGTTGAGCTTTTTAGTCAAATTTCTCTGGAATTCCTTGTATAAGCTTGACTGCAGTCACCCCCATATTTTCACCATTAAGACTAGTAATGAAAAGACTGTTGTTAAATTTAGAGAGAAAAAAAAGGAAACAATGAAATATTGTGGTCATATTAAAAGATATAACTCACTTTTACAAACCACACTG